TCTGACATACCATCAGTGAGCACAGGTACCTACTTAATGCGAGTGTCGTGTCGAGTGCGAGTGCTGAGTGTGAGTGCCGAGCGCGAGAACCGAGTGATTGGGAGGACTGAGTGATTGAGTGTGTTGAGTGAGGTTGACTGCTTCGAGAGCATGAGCACATGAGTTTATCACTGTGGTGCATTACACTTGACATGCATACTTGGCATGTAGGCATAGAGATACATTCCCTCATGTTGTACGATATTGTGACATTTATGACTTCACATGCACATTGACATGTAGGCATATAGATGTACTTTCCTTATCCATCTGATAATGAAACATCCTATCTGTTGTTGAAGGTTTTTGGGGAAAATCACAGTTTTCTGATATACTCATATTTTGATGATTTCGATGAAAGATTTGGATTTTATTGTTATACCTGAAAAGCATGCCTATTATTCGTAACTATGAACGAGTTGAGCATCATATCTTTGAGTTATTACTTGTACTGCTTTATTTATATTGTTACGAGTTGTTCCTGGCGGTTGTATTGGACTCTGACCATTGTCCAAGCTCGTCACTACTTTTAACCTAAGGTTAGGTTTGTTACTTATTGAGTACATAGGATCGGTTGTACTCATACTACACTTCTGCACCTTGCGTGCAGATTTTGGATACTGATGTTGCTGTGTATGGCGGGAGCTGGCATTGAAGATGTACCTGCGTTCCGATTGTAGTTGTCTCTTGTCCACGGTAGCTTTAGATTTATAATAATCTATTTATGTACATTTCGAACAGATGATGTATTTATTTCATATCATCTTTGTAAACTCTAATCTTAAAAACTCATGATTTATACTACCAGTCCTTAGGATTTTTGTATAAAAGTTCAGTTGTATTATCATTACTTTTCTTAGTAAATCTCATTTGAATTGGATGGTTGCTAATTGGCTTACCTAGCAGTTGGGGGGTTAGGTGTCATCGCGACTAATTGGATTTTTGGTCGTGACACCCTCTAAGGCCACTGCAAGTGGTATAAATTTGGGATTCGTCTGAAACCTATGTTTCAACAATAGAAAGTTGGTTTTTAGCCAATTCACAATATCTAGCTCTGACAAATATTGTCCCAATTTTATTTTTACTACAAAAATCTGTTGCAGTTGCACAATTAGCCTGCTCCAGCAGCAAGCTAGATTTTATCCAGCAAATAAAAAAAATTATTCAACAAATCAAGACACAAATTTCAAGTCAACAATGTCGAGCTACTTCGTTTAAAAAATCATCATTAGAAGAAAACCTCGATATGATTTTCTAGAAAAATAATTAGAGATTACATCAGTGTAACAACTAACATCATCCATGATATCAGCAAGCATTTACTCCTAGTGATATCATTCGTTAGGAAACACTATCTTGTTTTTAGTTTTTGGCTATAAATAGCCTCCCCCCATCACTTATAATTCATGCACTACACTATCACTTCATAAGAAATTCTCTATATCTCTCTCAAGAATTAGTTAGAGCTTACTTCCTCCAGTTTATTATTTTAAATATTTTACTTGTAGTATAAAATTTTCAGTTTGAATAAAAAAATTTAATCAAATTTATATTTATATATTACTCTTACATTACGGTTGGCCAAGTCACCTAACTTATTTTGTTGCATTTTATTTAGGCCAAATGGCCTCGTGGCCACTTAAACTTGTACCCGTTTGCAAAGCCGATATATGAACTTACATTCTTTCCAATTGAACACTCCAACTTGACGGAATGGGTACTAATAAACATCTTTGACCGTTGACTATGCCTATGTGGAAGCGGCACATCTAACATGGCTAAATTGTGTGCAAATCACGCTGCCAAGGCGCGTGGATAGTATTTTTTTTATTAAAAAAAAATATGAGAATCATAATAAAATATAAATGAGACCAAAAAAATAACCTTTCCCTTTCTCTTTTCCCCTCCCTCTCACCTCTTTCGTCTTCCCTACCATACTCCCACCTCCCCTTTCCCCCTACCCCCTTTATTCTATCACATTAATGAAGTCAAGCATTTCAATTTTTTCTTCACTATTTGTTTTTCTTGTATATGCTCCTTCTAATTTTAACAAAGAGAATAAAATTATCAACAATCAAGCTTGACACATATCACATCGAAGTGTAAATTTGGGCATAATTTTTGCCAGCAAAACACGAAAAAGGGCAAAAGGGACAGTAGTTTTCATTGCATTAATGGGATCCAATCATACACATTGTTTCAAGTTATACAAAAGATTAGCAAATGCTTTGAACAGAAGAAGAGTAACTTTTCTTGAAATTGTAGTAATTTTTCTTTTATTTTGACAATGATTTTCAAAATTGGACTTTGATTTTTTTTCTTTCTTCTTGGTATTTTTTCGATTCTGATTTTTTTCACATTGTAAAGACCCACTTTGAATGGATCAAAATTGGACTTTTACCATTGGAAATGGTGGCTGGGCGGGGGGAAGGTTCTTCTGGCAGAGCTATGGCGAAGAATAAAAGAAGAGAAAGAGAAGAAAAATAAAATTTTAATAAATTAATTTTGGAAAAAGGCAGGGCCCACAAACAACAACTGTCAAATAATAAATGGTCTGAGAATCTGACGTGGCATTCATGTCGAGCAATTGAGATGCACGCTCTAAGAGGGACTTATCATAAGCATTTTTATCGAGTTAAGGTGTCAAATTAAGAAATGAAAGTTCTAATATCGGTTTTAAAATTTGATGCAAGTTTAGGTGGCCCAGAGGCCATTCCGCCTTTCATTTATATGGTCGATTATGCCGCTTAACTTAATTGTTGCAATCTAACTGTATCTTCTGTAGGTTTAATTATATTGTTGTCACTTGCTTCCTATCCTTACTTCTCCTTATTTCTTCCCCTAATCATTTAGGGGCTTAGCTTCCGGTCCCCTTGGTATCAGAGCTATATATATATATATATA